TGGGCTAGATGGACCTTTGGTCTCACCCAGTACGGCCGTTCTTATGTCTCACAGAGAGGAGGGGGGGAAATTGTTCTCCTTGGCCTCTGAGGACAGGACAAGGAGCAATGGGCTTAAACCGCAGCAAGGGAGGTTCAGGTTGGACATCAGAGAAAACTTCCTACCTGTCCGGGTGGTGAAACACTGGAATAAATTGCTGGGGGGAGGGAGGATGGAGTCTCCATCCACACTGGAATAAATTGCTGGGGGGAGGGGGGATGGAGTCTCCATCCCTGGAGATATTTCAGAGCAGGTTGGACAGACACCTCTCAGGGATGGTCTAGGTGGTGCTGGGTCCTGCCGTGAGGGCAGGGGGCTGGACTCGGTGACCTCTCAAGGGCCCTTCCTGTTCGAGGATTCGGAGACAGCCTCTGTCCTGCCCCCGTAGGACGGACCAGGTGGCTCCTTGCAGGACGGGCTGGGAACGGTCCGAAGGCCGGCCCTGGGCCCTGCTGGAGCGCGCTGTGCTCTGCCCGCAGGATAAAACTGCCCCAGGTTCATGCCAATGGCAAAGCCGGTTTCCGGCACCCGCTGGCTGTTTTCATCTGAGCTGTGTCCTGCCGCCCCCTCGCCACCCTGCGCTGGTGACTCCCGCTGTCTGCACAAGAGCTGAGTGAGACTTCGCGTCCAGCCCTGCGCCAGGGAACAGGCGCTCCCCTTGCTCCGGGGGGCTGGGCGCCGGAGCAGCGGAGGGGGTGAGGCAGGGAAGGACGGGACCTGCTCTCTGGCCCGTGCAGCAGAGCCGGGAGAGGTTACTTGGCACCTGGCAGGGACCCCTCCCGCACTGGGCGAGGCTTCAGCCCCGGCTCGGGGGACGTCGGTAACTCAGCCAGGAGTCCCGGTGAGGCCTGCGAGGGGCCGGAAGTCATGATGGGCCCCTCAGAGGCTGCAGGGGCCAGGAGCAAGCCGGGGGCAGGGAGGGGCTGGGACGGTTCTTGGCCAGGGTTTCCGCAGGCCAAGGGTTAGGGTTAGGCAGGCAGGGTTTCCGCACGATGCCCGTGCCCAAAGGCACAAGCCAACCCTTGATGGAGGCCCCGGGAAGGAGGCCCTTAGAACGGCCGGAAGTCATGATGGGCCCCTCAGAGGCTGCAGGGGCCAGGAGCAAGCCGGGGGCAGGGAGGGGCTGGGACGGTTCTTGGCCAGGGTTTCCGCAGGCCAAGGGTTAGGGTTAGGCAGGCAGGGTTTCCGCACGATGCCCGTGCCCAAAGGCACAAGCCAACCCTTGATGGAGGCCCCGGGAAGGAGGCCCTTAGAACCGCGGCTTGTTCCTGGCAAAACCCTCTGGTGCGTGTATCTCACGACAGCTGCAACTGTGCGTAGCTCCTTTAGACACCCCCGGAGCTGGGTGCGTTTTCCAGAGCCCCCTGCCTGGGCCGTCTTCCCCCTTCTGAAGCGCCCGCAAGCCCGGGCAACCGAGCTCCAAGGAGTGTGGGGAGAAAGACCCGAGCGAGATGGGCACCATGGAACCAGCTTTGCCCCGTCCACGGCCAGCCAGACGGTGCCGCACCG